CCCCCCCCCCCCGTCCCTGCTCAGCCCAGGAGGTGGACCTTGTCCCACTTTGCCTGCCCTGCGCCCAGAGGCCCTTGTCCTCCCAAGGAGCCACCCCAGCTGAGTCCTTCCGGGGCCCTGCGTACCTTGCCTGAACTCAGCAGGCTCTTCACGCCAAAGCTCATGCAGCCGAGAAGTTCGTTCTGCCTGGGGAGGAACCAGCCGAGAGAAGGAAAGTGAGAGGGAGGAAGGGAGGGAGAGGAGAGCCATAACAAGGCTGCCCCCAACACCTCAATGTTCCCAGGACACCCCCCACATGGCCAGGAGACCCACGGATGGGGGAAACGACACTGTGCACAGGATTGGCCTCGGTCAGAGGCCTTCTAAATGTTCCGCAAGAGGAAGGATACTTTGCCTACCCAGATCTCTCCTCAAATGAGCTAGGCATGGCTTTGCCTGGAAGTAAGAGATCCTTAGGGTGGCCCAGACACAGTGGGTGCTCAGCTTCCCACTGGCCACAGCAGAAAGGCTCACGACGCCTTCCTCTGGCTCAAGATGCCTTCCTCTGAGTGATTCTACCTTAGGGCATTGGGCAAGCCAGCCCCCCCGAGCTTTGCAGCCGCCAAGCTTTGCAGCCAAAGACACACACAACCCTCGCTCTCCCCCCCCCACTTCAAAGCAAGGGTTGCCTGGGGGAGAAGAAAAGCAAGCCTGCCAAAGGGAATCATTGAACAGTTCACCTCCTGGAGACGATTTAAACCATTGGTTGCATTGGTTAATTGAGGGCCTGGCCCAAGAAGGCGAGACCAAGCAAGAGGGGCCAAAGGCCAGCTTTGGAAGAAATCAGCTCCCTATGTCCAGCAAAGCCCTGTTTCAGCCCCATGTGACTGTGGGACCCTGCCAGCAAAACCCACAGAGGCCCCCTAGCGGTCCAGCGTGCTGGACAGCTCCCTTTAGCAAACTCCCTCCCCATCCCTGAAAGCATTTGATGCTCTCTCCTCTTCAGAGCCGAACGGGCTGGAAATGCAGTGTGACAGCCAGTCAGAGAATTACAAAGGGACCTGGCATAAATAACACTTAAGTTCGAGAAAAGAACTATGACAAAGTCAGCTGACAGGCCAACTGGTTTAAATCCTCTGCAGGGGGGGAAGAACGTTTGGTTATTCCTTTTGGCAGAAAACGACGATGCCCCCAATGCAGGGGCCACTTTATTCAGACGTGTCTGAGATGGGATCTCCCCAGAGGCGTCGGCGCCATTAGTTCATCTCAGGGACACTATAAATAGCATCAAAGGAACATTTCCATTCTTCTTCCTTCCCCTGGATAACTATGGGAGGGGGACACATACACACACTTTCAGTAGTATCACATAGATTTTGTGCTGGGATTGCTAAAATGACAGCAAACAAAACTGTCTAACATAGTGAACAGAACTACACCAGCGACATTAGAAAACCTGGAATCCCCCCCTCCCAAAAAAAAGCCTGCAGCCTTCAGCTGTCTCTGGAAGGACAGGAGGGAGGCAGGCACTGGATCAACTTTTATGAACAGACTTGCAACACACAAAGGCTACTATCAGCAGGGTCAGATCCGCGGTTTCCAAGGGACGTGTACACCAGGAAGAAGCTCTACTCAGGGAGGGTATGCCCTTCTCAGATCAGGGGGATCGGAGAAGGGCATACTGGTGTAGCTACCTCCTGTGCCAGATGTAGAGGACCTCATGTTTTCCCACATGGTTACCCTCACTGCCTTCTTGGTCTCTGGTCTGACCCTGAATCCCACGGCTGTCTCTCGACCAGGCCTGCCTCTCCCACAACAGGTGCTTCCAACCAGCAGTCAGGCCAGGGGCTTCAAAACGACAGCTCAGAGGTGCGGGCCTCTTCCCTGGCCTCTTCCTTACCTAGAATCCCGTCGGCGGTTCCACACGGCGACCAGCAATCGCTTCCGCCCATCCTCTTCTTGCAAAGGGCTGGAAGAACCAAGGAGAGAATGCGGTAATGCGGCTCCCGAAAACCCCTAGAATCAGCCGCCTTCCAGGATGACCCACACGCTGACCCCCCCGGTTCGCTCTCTGGCCTGCTCGCGTCTGACCGCCAGAGCTAGCCACCGCACCAGCTGCGGAGGCTGCCCAAAGCTGGACAAGTGTTCGGATCACTTTCCCGGAAACCCCTTCAAGCCCCTTCAGTTATGTCCTGGAAAAAAAATAACAATCCAGCGCCTGGTGGACGCGAACGAGGAGGGTAAAGCCGGAAGCCACAAGAACGCGTTCGAATGAAAGGAAATGCAACCCAGGAGAAAAGGAGATGCATTCGCTCAGCGCCGATCCTGTTCCAGATTCAGGATTTTCAGTTCCAACCCCGGCGGCCGAAGACAACTCCCCGTTTTGTCCACATGCCACCGCAGGCCACAGAACTTTCAGAAAGCCTTTTTTTCTCTGCCTTGACACCCCCCACCGACATACACTCAAGGATCACGCAGCGTCTAGGAAAACTCCCACCGCTTGGTTTAGGCGCCCAGGCACGATCCAGCTAAGGAACCTGAAAAGTGGGGGGGAGCAGCCCAGCCAGAGAAGGAGGCACGTCTGTGCGCGCGTGCCTCTTTGTTGACAGCTCGGGCAACCT